TACTTGTTTGATTTGAGCCAGGTCATTCAATAATTTTTGCGGAGAATTAAAACCGGTAGAGTTATGACCATTAAATAAAATATAAATTATATAAAACAAAATAGAGCAATCTTAACAAAAAATATATGTCCCCGTGTTTCCACCAAGAAAAAATAAAAGAAATCGACAATAATTTAGTCGAAATAAAGAAAAAAATAAATGAATTAGAAATTAAAAGTCAAAAAATTAAAGATAAAAAACCACACCTATTAACGCAATTAGAGGATTTAAAAAAGGTAGAAAAAGAACTTGACCAACTAACTAGGAAAATTAAAGAAAAAGAAAATCAGTTAAAAGATACTTCACCTAAAACTGAAAAAGAAAGAAAAAGGTTACAAAATGAAATAGAAGATTCAAAAAAAGGACTTAAAAAAAAACTGAAAGACAAATCGGTTCAACAAGGTAATTTACGTAGTACATTTCTTAACAATGGTGGTGATAAATTAGGTATTTTATCACTTGAACTAGCAGATTTACTAAGTAGAGAGAGAGAGAGAGAGAGAGAGAGAGAGAGAGAGAGAGAGAGAGAGAGAGAGAGAGAGAGAGAGAAATTGGCTCTAACTTGTTCTTGTTCGGAGCATAAAGAGGAAAAAATACTCGAAGAAGAAGATTGAGAGGCCGAAACTCCTACTAGTGAAGAAAACACTTTTTCTTTTGAACAACCAACAAAGGAAAATTTTAAGGTTTTCAATGAGTTATTAGCAAGTAGTTACGAAATTAGACATTGAAAAGAATGTGTTTTTCGCTTAGAACAAAAACTTTCCTTTTATAAAGAAATTATTGAAGTAGAAATCTCCGCTATTAAGGATGATCACTTAGCCGAGATTGAGCAAATGAAGAAAAACAGTCGGGAGAGAAGAAAATTGGTTAAAAAGACAGTTAGTGAATGAAAGAGCAAAATTAAAAATTACCAATGGGATTTAGAAATCAAGCGAGAAGAAGTTAAAGTTTTAGAAAAAAAAACTAAACAGCAAGCTTCCGAATTAACTTATCAAAAAGAACTCTTTCAAGACCAAAAAGAAAAATATCTCTGGGAAATTGAAATAAAAAATAAAGCGATAAAGTCTGCCCAAACTCAAATAAATAATTTGGAAGAAGAAAACGAGGAATTATTTCAAGAAAATGAAATTTTACGGGATGAATTAGAAGCCGGATTAAAAGATAAACAAAATAAAGAAAGTCGCCTTAATACTTTATTTAGCCAACGACAAGTATTTCAAAATAGATATAATATCAAAAAAGGGAAAGTTAGCAATTTAGTCCTTGAACTGCAAAAAGAGCAAACAAAAAATGCCGATATTCAGCATAAATTATTCGAAACTGAACAAGAAAATAGGAGACTCCAATATAGAAATATTGAGTTAGAAACTGATTTAACTAATGCTCTCCAAAAGAAAAGTGAATTAAGAAAAAGGCTGATTGAAATTAAAAGGAGTCATAAGTCCTCAGTTCAAAAGGCTCAAGCCGCTAATTTATGCCGAGATTTAATTAAATATGAAAGCATTGGAGAACTGGAAAATGATAAAGATAATGCACTTAAGCAATTTATTTCTCAATCTACCGGTTCGCTAATTGAAACAGTGGCTAATTGTCAACAACATTTAAAAGTTACTGATTTAACTAAACTTACTACTACTCATCCGATGCCTAAAGGGAAGTCTTTAACTGATTTAATTACTTTTTATCACGCTAACCAAGGTAAACCTTCAACTTCCACTCAACTCTTGGAGTTAGAAGTACCTAATGAAACTCCCATCGTGAACCAAATTATTCAGGAGTGTGAATTAGGACTTAACCAAAATAGTAGTTTAAACCAAGTGATTGAGCGAATCAATCAGTTAATTAAAGTTAAACCACCCATCACTAAACCTGTTAATCAGTCAACTGATACTCCGTTTGGGGAGAGTTTAGAAAAAATTGTGGAAATTGATTTAAATGGTTTAGAAAAGGAATTAGGAATTAGGTTGTCAAGTGAAATAAAACAGCAAATTAAACAAGTTGCTAACTACCGAGAATTAAGTTCCCTCCGAAACCAAGAAATTAAGAATTATTTAGAGAAAAGTCAAGGAGGTATAATAACTAGTCAACCACTGCAAGCAGTAGTTAAACCGTTCGGAGGAAAAATAGTTTTGGTCAGTTGGTTAGTGCTAAGTTTATTAATGATTGCCGCTTTCTTATTAAGAATAAAGGTAAAACAGAAAGAGAAAAAAAGGATTTAGTTCTCGTCTAACTTTTTTACTTTCAAAAAAGACTTGGAGACCCATTTGCTTATGTAAAAAAGGCTGGTTAAGATAAATATTTTGGGTATAAACTGGAATGTTTCCCATTTTCAGTAAAGGTTCGCGTTCGTGTCAACCTCTCCTCACTTCTACTTTTTTCTTTTCTTAATTTCAATAAGGTTGTTCTAAATCAAAACTACCGAATTTGATAATGGGTTCGGGACTAAAATAAAATATTATGAAAGAAATTATAATAATTGAAACTTCCAATGCCAATAAATTAAAGACTATTCTCACTAAAAACCATATCGAACACCAAATTATTTATAATGAGACTTTAACCACTAAAAAACCTAGCAAAAAAGATAAATTACGGGAATATATTGAAATGAAAAGTAAAGAGGATATTTTTGCGGATTATGGTAAGGCTTTACAAGATAAAGAATTAGAAGCGGAAAAGTCTCTTTTAGAAAATGACCTTGACTAAAAAAATTAAAGTGAAACCGGTAATTGGTGAAGTAAAAAAAGGCGAAGTTTACCGCTATTGAATTTGAAAACATGAAGCGATTGGCACGGAAATTAAAAAGGAAAAGCGACTAGGAGTAATTATTTCTACTAATGGACTAAATAAGTGAGATAAGCGGTTTGTGATTATTCCCTTAACTAGCAAAAAGTTAGGAGAAATTTATCGTTATGAGGTTCGCACTTTTGTTGATAGTAAACATGGTAAGGCTTTAATCGACCAAATCAAAACAGTGGATAAAAAACGACTAATTAAGAAATTAGGACAATTAACTGAAAAAGAAATGGATGCTATTCACGAAAAACTATTAGGAATATTTGATTTATGGGAATACTTAAAGAAACGAAGTTCAGCGATAAGCAAAAGAGAGTTAACGTAAAAACACCAATAATAATTGCTTGTCTATCACAGAAAGGTGGAGGTGGCAAATCTACCCTAACTCGCTGTCTAGCGGTGGAATTAACCAAACAAAAGAAAAGTATTTTACTCGCCAAAAAAGGAAAAAAGTCTTCTCGAACCTAAATAATAAAACAGTAAAATAAAAGTTATAGAGAATAATTTATATAAATATTATGATAGGTTTTGTAAACAATATAAAATTTAAATGCGATAAATGTCAGATAGTACAAGAAACATATTCAGCAATGATCAAAGGTTCTAATAATACTAAACTGTGTAAGAAATGTGGGGAAAATGTTTGTTTTATTTGTGGTAAAAAGGAAACCAGAAAGGAGTGAATTGAGGATGTAGATTGTTGTGGAAACAAAGTTAGGAGAGAAGTGGAAGTTAAAATATTTAATCAAATAGAAAAACAAGAAGATAATCCAAATGAAGGAATATGAGTTTACTATTGCCACGAACACCAAACAGAGGCTCAAAAATCTCCCTATTTATTTACCGAAGCAGAAAAGAAGGTGCTTCGCGAACAACAAGAAAAAGAACATGACAAGAAACGAGACCAAGAAAAACGAGAAACAGAAGAAAGATTAAATAACCAAAAAAACCTTTTTTTTCATGAAGGACGAACTGATAATAATAGGGAAGGACAAATATATAATGTCTATTTAGGTAAAGAAAACGGTCAAAATTATTATTTAATGATCCCTTCTGACCATCCGGTATGAAAAGCAACTGATCCTGCCGCAAAAAAGATGGTGAGTATCATAAAAAATGAAGGAAATTACCTTTTTCTGGTTGAGGGAGTGGAAAATATTCCCATTGAGCAAAGCCCCTCCGGTTACTGAAAATATTTAAGTAGTGAAAGAAAATCGCAAGGTATAACCGAACCTATTTTTCATAAAATTGTTGAAATGAACCATAAAATTACTTTTGCCGAAGCGGATGAAAACCCCGAAAAAGATAAGCCAGTTAAAAATAACCCAACTGATAACCCTCCTAACTCTCTGCCCAAAAAACCAATCAACAACCAATTTCTACTTCAATACTTTCAAAAAAACAGTATCAAGTCAATTAAGTTAGAAGATCAAACCTTAATCGTTGAAAAAAATGATAATTCAATTTCTGCTAGTCCTTTCGCTAAGTTCCCCGAACTAACAGGATTAGTCCGCTATTTAGAAAACCGGACTAATAAAAAGGTTAGTCGCCAAGAATTAGAAACAAAAAATAATTCTGATAATACCTCCCCTCACACTAAACCCCAAGATAATACTTGAAAGATAGGGTGCGGAATAGGTGGAACACTGGCAATTATAGTAATGATTGGACTATTCCTTAGAAAGAAGAAAAGGAAAAATAAATAATAAAACTAAATAAACTAATAAGAAAGCAAAGTTACCTTTTCTTTTTCTATCTCTTCTAAATTTAGGGTTTGACTAACTTGAAATTTACCAGAACTAATTCTTCTTAACTGGCTAACGGTGGCAATGGTTCCTAATTTTTCCGCCATATCTTTTACTAAACTACGAATGTAAGTGCCTTTACTACACTCGGCTAAAAAATTTATCTTTGCTGCTTGAGGGGAATAGTTTAATAATTTTATTTCTTTTATTTTCACCAGCCGTGGAGGAACTTCCATTAAAATGCCTTTTCGAGCATACTGATACAGTTTTTTGCCCTTTATTTTTATGGCGGAGTACATTGGGGGCTTTTGTCAATATTCGTAATCATTAAAAGAATTGATAATAGTTTGAACGTGGTTTTCGGTAAACACTTGTGGCTTTTGAGTTTTAATAATTTTACCTATTATATCACCCGTATCAGTTTCTAAAAATAATTTCATTTCTACTTCATAAGTTTTGGATTGACCAGTTAATAAGTTGCTCACTTTAGTGGCTGCACCGAGCATAATTATTAACAAGCCGGTCGCCAGTGGATCCAAAGTTCCCGCATGACCTACTTTTTTTATTCCCAGTTTTTTCCGAATAATTTCCACCACTTTGTGCGAAGTAATTCCCGATGGTTTGTCAATTAAAAGTATACCATCCATATCTAAATTTAAGTAAAAATATTATTTATTATAAAACTTGTTCCGGAGTTTAAAAATTGATTGCAAAAAATCCTCCTAATTAAAGAGAATCCGCTATCAGATCAGGAGTTCCGGTTAAAGAACAGGTGCCATCAATATTTTTAGGAAATGCAATTAGTTCTTTTAAACTTTTGACTTGTAAAATGGTGGCTAATAGGCGGTCAATTCCAAGGCCGATTCCTCCGTGTGGGGGTGCGGCAAATTCTAAGGCTTGTAAAAAATAACCAAAATTTTTTACTCTTTGCTCTTGGTTATACCCTAATATTTCCAATACCTTGGATTGTAATTCGGCATGGTGAATCCGGATACTGCCGCTTAGTATTTCCTCCCCATTCAGAACTAAATCAAAAGCCTCGCAAATTACTTTTTCTGGTTTAACTTGGTTATTCAGCAAAGGTTTAATATACTTTTTTTGTGGAATAGTGAAAGGATGCCGGAAGGTTTCATATTTTTTAGTTTCTTGGTTATACTCAAAAAGCGGTCAATCAGTTATTCACAAAAACTTCAACTCTTTTTCATTTTGCGGGTTAGAGCGTAAATCTGGTTTATCAGTGCTGTATTTTTGCATAACTTCTTGGTAGGTTAAAGCGAGAAAAGGAGTTTTTATTTGGTAGCCAAAAGTTTTTTTTAAAACCGTTTTGAGAAACTTTTCAACCAGTTTTTTAATTTCTTTTACTGAAGTAAAACTTAACTCTAAATCTAATTGAGAAAATTCAATTTGCCGATTACTACGGGCATCCTCATTCCGGAAAGATTTAGCAATTTGATAATATTTTCCCAGACCGCCAACCATTAATAACTGCTTAAAAACTTGGGGTGATTGAGGCAAAGTATAATAACGACCTTTAAGATTGGAAGGAACTACAAAACATTTAGCACCTTCGGGGGAACTTTGAGACAAAATTGGGGTTTCGATGTCAATAAACCCCTTTTTGTGAAAAAAATTTCTTAATTCATAACAAAATTTATTTTTAATAAGCAGTAATTTCTTACTACTAGAATTGCGCAAATCTAAATAACGATAGCGATATTTATTATCCTCTTTAACATTAACAAAGGGAAAGGGAAGATCTTTATTAGAACTATTAGCATTAATTAATTGAAATTTAGTCAATTCAATTTCTAATTCTGCTTCTTTCTTTGAGACTTTTTCGCCTTTTTTTATTTTAATGATACCTCCTATTTTTAACAAATCGCCTTTTTTTATGTCTTTTAGTTGTGAAATTAATTCTTTATTTTTAACTACAATTTGGATACAACCACTACTGTCCTGACCAGTAATGAACCACAATGAATTGCCTTTTTCATTAATGTTAATAACCCAAACATAAAGTGTAGTTTTTTTATTTAAATTTTTAAGGGTTAGCTTGGAAATTAGTGAGAAAGAAGTCATTATCTATTTTAATAAATTAATTTTAGGTTTTTTAACGTGGTTGGTGGCAAAGTTTAGTACAAACAAGGTTAATTTTCCAAGTAAAAAGATATTCGGTTTTCAGTGAATATTTTCTTAGTTAAAAGACTAATCCTCCAAATCTAGCACTGTTTTTAGAGCTTTTTCTACTTCTTTTATAGTTTCTTTGTCTACGGCTCTAATTCTTTGTAAAAGAACTTTGCTTGGCTTGTCTAAACTGGTTTCTTTGGTGTTCTTAACAAAAAACTTCATAGTCGGCAACTTCTTTAATCTCATCGGAAGTCAAAGAAGCCATAATTATCTGTTCATCCAATTCATTTTGAATGTCATTGCTAACTACTAAGGTTAGCCTTATTTTGTTAATCTCCTTTTCGCTTTTGTGGTTAAAATCAACTAGTCAGATTTGCCCTCGTTGGGGGAATTTTGGTTTGATTTTACTTATTATTTAATTCCATCTGCGATAGTGTCTTCCTAAATTTTATTACATTGTTAGAGTTTTTTTATAGCAATTTAAAATCCTGAATCCTTAAACAGCAAGGGTTTAGTCCTAACTCAGACTATCACTAATTTCTAATCATGTAATAAAACTTCATTCACCTTAAACCTATCTATTTTTTCCTAATTTCAGTTTGTAGTTTTTTAATCTAGCACTTATTATTTTTAGTCCTTAATTTTCTCAACAACTCTCCGATAGAGGTTAAACTTACTAGTAATAAACCAATCCAAATAAGTCTTTCGGTATTTCTACTAGCTTGAACCGTTTGAACTTATTTTTGTTTATTCTCAGTTTGATACTGGGATAACTGTTGCGAAACCTTAGCGGACAAACTTTTTAACTTGGGTATAATCGTTTATTTGTTTTATATTTTAACCTTTTTGCCAATTCATCCCCACCTAAAAGGGGATGAGGGTGTTATTGGCTAATTTTTGATAAATTATAATTGAACTAAATTATATGTCTTTATCACTCTTTTCAAGGGGGGGAGGAATGATCCAAACCCCCATTAAAATTATTTATTTTTTTCTTTTTCTGGTTCAACTTGCGGCAAATTATTATTTTGTTTCATCAATACCCATCCCAAAGTTAATAAACTACCAATCGCTAACACTCCTAAACCAACACTTAGGGTAGTAGAACTACTATTTTTATCTTTTAATTTACTAAATTCAGTTTTAATTATTTCACTTCTTACTTCTTGTACATCATTAGCTGAGGAAGCATTTTGAAGTTTTTGTTTTTGATCATCAGAAATTTGGAAACCTCAATCTTTTCACTCAGTATTAGTTTTATCAACCAGAGCCTTTTTAGTGATTGTATTAGCATTCTCTTTATTACCATTTTCTAATTCAGAGATTTTTCGTTTTTTAGATTCTACATCAGTTCTTAAATTATCCCTTTCCGATTTAACTGTATCATAGTCAGTGTGAGTACAAGAGGAAGTTGGTCTGCCTTTTAATTTTTTGATTTCCTCAAGAAGTTTCTGCTGATCAGCACTATCTCCTAACCCCAACTCTTTTCTTATGGCTTCTCAATTCTGTTTTAATTGGTCTTTTTCTGCTTCAACTCCAGTTAATTTATCTTTGGCCTCCTTGGCTTCTTGTTTGGCCGCATCTCTTTCACTTGTTAGTTGGCTATTGGCTCCTGCTTTTATTTTGTCTTTTAACTCATCTTTATTAAGTTTGCCGCTACTATCTATTGGTAAAGGATTTTTTTCATCTATACCTGCCGTTTCCCTAACCACTTTTACTACCTCTTTATAGTAATCCAATTTGTCAGAATGAATAGGTGAAATCTTAGTATCCCCATCCTTGTTTAATATCTGAGTTTTTTTTAAGTTTTCAAGCCCATTTAGTTCATCAAGATTTGGATTTTTCTGTATGTAAAGTTTTTGTAAAGCTACACAGTGAGCAAGAGCAATTTTGTCAAGGTCATTTTCTCCAACCATTAACTCTTCTAAAATATTATCCTCCGCTTCACTCGCAGTGTTAACTTTTAACTTGTTAAGATCTATTTTTTTAATTCCTCCAGTGCCACCAGTTTTTTTGTTTTTGGACAAATTAATTTTTTTTAATTTTGGACAGTTTATAAAAACAACCTCATCTAGTTCATTATCGTCAAGTTCAATTTCCTCTAAATCTAGATAATCCTTAATTTCTAAAACACCGGTTAATTTATTTGCTGCTACATCTGAATGAGCTGGGTTTCATGCTTCGTTTGCCCCCCAATGTTGTTTTGAGACCTGAATGTTTTACTATTTTTTTCGTATTTTTAGCGATTCCGCTAATTCATGTTGCTGAGTCTACCATATTTTTATTTTTGATTTATTGTAATATTTTTTTAGATATAATATTAATATTTGTAAGTTTTTACATAATTTAATCTTTTTCTTCACAATTTGTTATCATCCCATCTTTTGTTTGTCATACTTATGAATTATTAAATTTTCATTTTTGCTACTTGTTCAATGTAAGCTTTTAAATTATCTCTCATCTCCCCCGTATCACTTAAAATATCTTCCGCTAATTCAATCACTTTTTCCTCTTCATCCGCCCATTTCCGCAATTTATCGTATTTGTTTAATTTCTCCTGCTGTTCAGAATTGAGAGTAACCCCACTTCCTGAACCTCCTGCTGCTGGCTTGGCTTGTAATTCTGTATCAACTTGTTGGGCAGATTTGTTTGGAAATTTATTTGTTCATTCATCAAGTTTATCTTTAGACACTAGTTTATCTTGCCAATTGCTTGGTAAAGGATCATTTGGGTTCAATCCCAAAATTGCATTTATTTGGTTTGAAGTAGGACGTTTTTTTAATTTGTCTATTTCATCCTTTCAAGTACTTAAATTACTGTCATTTAATCCTAATTTGTCTTTTAATCCATTTTCATAATCTTTAACTTTATTGTTAGCATTATCTAAATCACCTTTTTTAACTAATTTGCTTTCTCAACCACTAGGTAAACTATCACTATTATTTAAACCTAATAATCCTTTAACCTTATTTAATTGAGCCTGAAGTTCCTCAAAATCACTCTTTTTTGGCCTTTTACTATAATCATCATCTCACTCATCTTTATTAATTGGAATATCAGGTCTGTTTTCTAACCTAGTTAGTTGGCCAGCAATATCACTCGGTTTTTTGTCTCCAAATTCTTTTTTTCATTTCTCTAACTCTTCCTTAATGCTATCATAATCAGTTGGTTTCAAGTCTCCTTCTTTATGTTTTTCTAACTCAAAGCCATTATCTTTAGCAATCTGTTCTATTTTATCTTTATCTTTAAGGTCAGCGGGGTTAATGTAACCTTTGAATTCATTAGTTTTAGCATCTACTGCTTTAGTTAAGTCATCTTTAGTTGGCCGTTCTTTTAAATCATTTAACTTACCTTCTCAATCATCAGGCAAAGGATCATCTTTTGCTGAACCTACTGCATCATTAATTTTTTCCTTTCATTTTTTAAACTTTTTGCCATTAAGTCCTGGAGTATCAAGCAAGTTAATTGATTCTAGTTTAGTTAAATTTTCTAACCCTTCTACTTCAATAAGACTTGGATTGCGAGCGACATTTAAACGAGTTAGGTTAGGAATTTTACTAACATCAATTTTGGTTAACTTATTGTCAGGAAAGTCTAATCAAGTCAAATTAAGACAGTCTTTGTCAAAAACCACCTCAGCAATTTCATTATTATTAAAATAAACCCTTTTTAATTGGGGGCAATTTATAATAGTTAATTTGGTTATTTTGTCTTTAATCTTTTTACCCCATCTTCTAAAATCAATTTCTTCAACCTTAGTGTAACCTTCAATTATTAATTCATCAATCAATTCTTCTCCTGCCTCCTTGTTTTTCTCATATAACCCTATTTTGTTAACCTTTTTGTCTTGATAGGTGGTATTTAACCACTCTTGTGCATTTTTTGTCATATTATTTATTGTTTATTAGTATTTACTTCTATGTAAGTTTGATACCTTTCTACATCCAATTGCTCTTCATAGCGGTCTTTTCCAAAATAATCCTTTACGCTTTCTTCTAAGCCCTTTCATTTTTTAATCTGCTTTGCTGTTTCGGCAAAGTTAGTTGGATCTATACCAACTCCTTTCAATAACTTTTCTAGATCTTCGTTTGTTTTTAACAAACTTTCTAAGTTCTTGGAATCAGGAATATCAGATAACTTCTTATTACCTAACTTGGCTTTTAAAGTATCATCTTTTAAATCGCCTACACCTAATGTGGTAATGGCATTTGCTGCATCACCGCCAGCAGTTTTTAATCCATCGATCTTTGTTTGATCGATTTTGTCGCCATCACTATTAACCAAGTCTGGACTATTATCTTTTACTAATTTCTCATACTCATCACTTTTTGATAACTCCCCATCTAATTTGCTTTGTTCAAACCTCCCATTAGTCAAAATTCTAGCATTATTTGGATGATTAACAACAT